TAAATTGGGAACCCTCATGGACTGAAGTCTCTTCTGCTTTGCGTGGGCATTAAAGAGGTCGCTGAATCCTCTGCGTGGAGGATGGTTTGCCCAGCTCTCCTGGTGTGTGTTGTTCCAGTTTCTATTTCAAGAGCACCCAGAAACCCAGCTCAGGGTTGAGGCCTCTGGGAGTCTGTCATTTTGCTTCTCCCTCTAGGCTCTGCCCTGTGTCCCCTCCAGACAGCTGTGTTTCTCCAGGGCTCAGCATCGTAAAGCTTTTGGTGGGTGATGTGATCTCTAGAAATTGTTACTGTCCAGGCTTTATAAATGATCTATTTGGAGCTTGTGCCTGCCAAGCTAATGAATCATTTCACTTTTATCAGAACTCTTGTGTTTTTCTGTCCTGGCTGCGGGGTGGGGAGAGGGGAGCTGATGGCATCCCCACCGTTCCCTACGACCTGCTGGGGACGCTGCTTGCAGATGGGGCTGTTCCTCTCTCTCATCAGTCAGCTGAGGGACTCAGCCCTGAACCTGTTTCTTCACATCGTTCCTTTGAAGGAAAATGCAGCCAAAACTTCTTTACACCCTTTCCAGGCACGTCGCCTTGAGTCAGGGAAGAGTTTTGCAACCTTTACTCGATGCTAAGATGTCACGGTACTAAGGCTGATTTCCTTTGGGCAGGTAACTCTTTGTGCCTCAGTTTACCTCCGGCGGAGCAATTACTGGGTTTCTGCAGGGGGATCTGCAAAACTCAGAGTTGTAAATTGTCTGGCAGAAGCTGGGACCCTTTTGCCTGAGACCAGGACCTGCCTGTGACCTCTGTTTCTGTCGTCCCGGACAAGTAACTTCTCTCTCTGTCTCTGCAAAAATAGAAAGGCTGAGCACTCTTGACTTTTTAACTGCTCTGAACAGGATAATGGCAACCCAAACTTAAAACTCAGGTCTTCTCAGGGAGATTGCAAGTTATTTGTCTAGTCGAGAGGTGATTCTTTGTAGCAGCTCTCCTGAGCAAGAGAATCTGCTGCTCGTCGGGCAAGATGTAGAGGCCGCCTTCTCCTTTCAAAGTGAGCATACAACTGTCGTGGTGTTTATTGCCGTTGGCAGGACCTGGCGAAGGCTCCCAGAACATCAGTTTTGGGTGCAGCCATCGTCCTCGGCGTAGCTGCTGTTTATTCTCACTTCAGCGATAACCTTGCACCTCCTAGAGAAGGGGCCGAGGTGTTTCAGACTTCCCTGCACGCCCTAACGCGGGGATGCACAGAGCAGGGACGTCACATAGACAAATAACCTCTGTGCTCTCTCCAGGGTAGGCGAGGGTTGACTCCGGGCTGGCAGAGCCCAGAGGGATAACGGGAAGGTTGGATCTTGATGATTTTGTTGGGTTTGGCTTGACTGTTTGCTGCCTGGGTAGCTGGATTGCAGCACTGTCCTGGTTTGACGCTAGGCGGGCGGCTGAGGTTTAACCATATCCCTTGACTGCTCTTTTCAATTTGCTGCGTGTGGCAAGTGCGTGTCCTGACATGGCTGCAGCCTTCCGGATGTGTTTTTATTTTAAAGTGGAGGTGGGGGGAAAACCCAAGAGAGAGAACGCGTGGCTTGATTAGAGGCAACGCGAGGAAAAATCAGACAGGGTTTTTGGCTCTCCTGGTAAAACAGTTCCCGCAGTGCAAACTGCTGCCATATGCTGGTTTCGAACCCGCGCTGCCCTCCCGCAGAGGTGGTGGCGGAAGGAAACTGGGACGATCCTCTCTTCTTGTGACTGCCATTGCCATCCTGGCCGGGGCGTTTCATCCGCAGTCGACTCCTGGCCCCCTTTCTCCCTGTGCTGATGCGAAGCCATGAGGCTTCATCTGGGAGTAAGCCAGCAAAGGAGCTGTTCTCACTTAATATTTCCTTACCCTTGATAAATGCAAAGGATTATGGACTTCCACCCTGAGCCCCCGTTGCCGTGCACGGTTAAATCTACTGTCTGTGATGCCAAAGAGGTTGCCTGCATGTCGGTGATGGAGTAAATGATGCCTGACTTGTCGTTTCTCTTGCGCTGACAGCGTGATCAGTGCTGTGCGGCTGCAACAAACGCTTGAATCAGCTGATGAAAACTCTAGGCTCCACGATGCTACAGAAGTAACAGAGTCAAGGTTAGGATACGATAGTCCCTGTCACCGGTGACAAAGCAATTAATATTTATAGCGAAGGGTGCGTCTGCATCGGACTGAGGCCCCTGTCCTTGCTCGGGGAGAAAAATAAGAAGCAAGTTCTGAAGTCAAATCCTAGGGCAGACGAGAGCACGCAGCTCTGTATGTGAGTTAACAGGTAAGATGGATGTTGTCCCAGAGCGTTTAATGCAGCCTGCTGTGATGGCAACAGCCTACTTTGTTTTCTCTTGGCAAAATGTTTAAAACCCCTCATTTTTGGCATAAAATTAGCTGTTTTGTGTCATTTGAGCCTCAGACCTTCTCTCTGCCCAGTAGCTAGGGAAGATGCTTAGGTAAAAGGTAGTGGAAAAGAAGGGGGTACTGAGCAGTCTTTCCTCCGTTCTAGACCTCCCAGAAATCAGTAGTTGAGGTGTTTCCGGAGTTGGAGATTGTACCTGGACTGTTAAGTTTTAAGTATTGCAATGCTCCAAGAATTTGCTTTTTAAAGGCACTTATACTTCTGGCTTCCCAGCATCCTCTGGTAGCAGCTTCTGTGGTTAATGCATAGCATGAGGAAGCACCTTGATGGGTTTGTTTGAAACTTGCTGCTTGATCCTTTTGTCCCTCTTCAGGGAGACCTGCCTCGACTGGGCTAAACCACTGGCCTGCCCAAGACGTCAGTCTCCAGGCTGAGAGTTAGATGGCTCCTGCTCCAAGTCCTAAACCTTCCTTGTGGTGATGTTTGCAGATCTCTCGATTCTTCCCTGTCCAGATACAGGAGACTTTGCTTGCAGGGCCACGTGACAGGCAGGGTTGATTAAGCAGTGATGGATGGATCCCTGCTCCCAGCTGTTACTGGGCTCGGTGCCTCCTTGCTAGTTGGCAGACCCGGCTCCAGCACAGCGCTCTGGCCTCTCCCACGCTCTGCCCCAGCAGCTGGTGTGGAAACTGCGTGTCAAGCTGATAAGCTGCCTCGAGCAGTGGGGGCCAGGAGAGAAGCCGTGGCGCTGAGCTCCAAGCGCGTGCGATGCGGTCCTGGCCCGTGAGCGAGTGGCACGAGAGCCAAGCAGTGGGCAGCAGGTCTCTGTAGCTCACTAACGCTCTGGCGTCCCGAGGGGAGAGAGGTGCTGTGGAAACGGTCACTTGTCATCCTTTGCATCAGAACATGGGAGCGGGAAAATATCTTGTCCTAAGTAAAGGTGAGTGAACGTTAAGGGTCAGCCTTTCTGTGACTAAAGTGCAAGCTATGGCTTGATCACGTGGCTCTGAGGTGTTGAATGAGGGTCAGGGTATCCTTTATAAGGGCAGTCCCCCCAACACACTGTGCAAACGCCAAAAATAAGGCCCTGAGGATGTAGAAAAGCCCTGTTCGCATGGTTACAAAAGAAGCATGTGCGTGGAGTTAAGGCTTTAGCGCTGATCTTTCTGTCCTGAGCTGTGTAAACTCCTCTGGCGGGATCAAGTCTTTCTACCTATGTTAAGTTTAAGCCATGGTGTTTATTTAATGCTTTGCTCAGAGCAGCTGCCCCTTGGGTGAAGCCAGGCAGTGATCTTGTTCAAGGCGAGGACTAAATAACTCTGTAGCTGTGGGTATTACAGGAGGGATATTTATTTAAGCAAATAGACTCAGTTGTCCTTGCTGAAGTTTGCCCAGGGTGGTGGAGCTGAGTTCATGCTGCTGAGCTGCAGGCCCGTAGCTGCCTTGGGGAAGAGAGGGGAGGCTGGTTAAGCAAGTTAAGTCCAAGCTCAGGACACCTCCATCAAGTGAGAGCTCTGAAAAATCCTCATAAAGTGTGGAAAAAGAGGAGGAGAAATTAGCCGGCTCGAGGGAAAGGCCCTGGGATCACAGCAGTCTAGATCTGAATATTAATTTAACCTCCATAGGAACTTTTCTTAGTCCTGTAGAAGACACATACTGAGGTGCTGGATGAACCCTGGTGAAGCTTAGCTCAGCAGAATCGCTGCTTCCTCATAGCACAGCTCTCTGCGATTGCGACGGTCTCCCGCCTTCCTGTGCAGCGTTGGAGCTGTGGGACAGACTGACGGCAGCCAGGGAGAGGGGCAGAGGACAACAGGCGCACAAACACGTTTGGAGGATGAGGTGGTGTAGGAATGTGAGCTGTAGCGGCAGCCACTGAACGGCACTTCTGTGCTTGCTTTATTCCCTCTCCTTCCTCTAAGTCTGGCTTTGGAGATCAGCTGCAAGGAGCGTTTCCTTCAGATGATGGGAGCGATGGAGATGAAGGCATTCAAGGTTCTCTTTTTCCCTCCTGCCCTCTCCCTCAGAATAAATTCCTTTTCAGAAAAGGTTAAGAGGGATGGCTCTGGCTGTCAGATTTGCCCCCTGTCAGCAGTGAGGAGGAGGAGTGTGCCTAGCTGATCGGTGAGTTGGTTTGTTGTGTTCTCGCAAAGTTGCCCGCTCAATCTTCAGCCCTGGGCGAGCAAGAGAAGGGCCATGGCTGTAAAAGCCAAGCAGCTGGCCTGCATCTCTCAGCTTCTGCATTAACAGCTCCCTAAACTTGGGCAGCTCCAGGGTAGGAGTTGGGTATCACAGTAATGGGTCAAGTGACACATTAGCTCTGCCTGTAAAAGCCAGGAATACACAAACCCAAGGAGGTGGCCACCAGTGATGTTCGAGCCTTGCCTCGCAGCGAGGGTGACAAGCTAACACGGTTACCTGCTGTACCCTTCGTCTGCGGGCACTTGGCTGTGGCGGCGTGGTAGCTACCAGGCAGGCTTCAGCAGCATGGTTTTGTTTGGTGGCTCAGCTGGAAAGATGCTGATGTTGTGATTTTTTAAAAAAAAAAAAAGTGACTGAGGGCTGAGTTGGCAGGACAGGTTAGATGGCTGAAGCTGCCGTGCTGCGGAGGGACGTGCTGTGCGGAGATGGACTCGCTGGTAGCGCGCGTGAAACTTGGCCTTCGGGTGCTCCAGCGCCCCGCGAGCGGGACACGGCACTGCCGGGTGGAGCTGAGCAGAGCATCCCAGCGTGGTGTTTTCTGGCTTGCTGCCTGCCTAGGAAGAGAGCGTAGCTGGGCAGCGACCCTGCTGGAGGGTGCTGGTCACTTCTACAGGGAAGAGGCATGTCTGGTGACGTGCCTTGATTTACCTGCCCAGCCGGAGGATCGCAATTGCGCTCTAGAGAGACCCAAAGCAACCTGCTCACAGCTCTGGCTGGAGCGTTTTAGCCTTTAAATCCACTCAGTTAGAGAGGGGACTTCAAAACATGAACATTTCAAATTGGAAATGCATTTGCATCTTTCCCTCTGTTTTGGGTGTGCATGCATGGGGGAGAGGGGCTGCCTTGATGTACGGACCCACAGACGGGAGGCTGAAAACCCTTCTAGTCTATTCCTTCTGCCCTGCTGTAGGATCGAGTCTAGCAACGTTGCTCCTGACAGACACGCTTAGGCTAGACATATATGTGCCACCCAGTTCTGGCTGCTTAGGAAATAATCTGGCTGCTTTCCTCCGGCTAATGACTGCGTGTCTGTTATGAGCAGGGCGCAGCAGGTTCCCTTCGGGAGGTGCCGCTTGCCGCAGTCGGTCGGAGCCGGAGGAACCCTCGTGGCACAGCTGCTTGTGGGATTTTGGTTTATTTTCCATCTGGGAAACACGGACCACCAGACTGAAGTGGAGCCAGAGTAATAGGATGCTGTCAGCCTCCCAGGAAATCTTTTCCTTTGCACCGTGCCTGGCTCCTGTTGGGGGAAACGAGGCCCCTGCGCTCACCGAAACCATCGAGGTGGCATTTCTTGGGACACGGGGCACCCAGCGAGCTGCTTCTGTGCAAGCAAGTGACCTGCCGTTGGGGGCAGACCTGGCGTGAGGCAGGAGGCTCTGTAGGCTGGGGCTGTCTGATGCATCTCTAAGCAGCTCCCGGAAAGCAGGGAGCAACACGGCGGGCTCGTGCCGCTCGATGTATGCGATGGCTCTGCAGTATCCCACCCACCTCACGTCGTCTGTTGCTCTGCTGATTTCCCTTCTCCCTCCCCTCTGTAGCTATTTATCCCAAATGCCATTTTTATCTCTGTTCATGCTCTGACTATACGTTCAAGCTTTTGGGCAGGATGCTGGTAATTTCCCTACAGATGATAATATTTAAACAAAAAAAAAAAAAGGCATTCAAAAGCTTCCAGAAATGGCCAAAGCTACAGGCAGTGAAACTGTGATTCGTCAGCTTTTCTGCCTGTGCGTGGCAGCCCCTTGCTCTCTCTTATGAACGATGCTCAACGCTCTCGTTTGCTAAAAGACGAGACCGCTTAGGCTGATGGTTAGCCACGGTAGTTCAGACTCATCCCAGCACCGCCTCTGATGGAGGCTCCAGTGATAATTCGCTGTTATTATCCTCTTCCTAACCATAGCCCTGTCTTCAGGGCTGTCCTCTGGAAAAGGGCTGCTCTGCGTGTGCATCCCTAGCTCTGACAGCAGCGATTGCACAACTGCTCTGAAACGCATCAGACCTGCAGGCCCTGAGAAACACAGCAGTGTCCCCAATGACACGGCATGCTGCTAAGTTTAGAAAGTCTTTCTTACGTGGTGGTTTTGACAGAGAAAATGCTGGAAACAAGTTAAGTAAAGGATTTTAAGCAGTGCAGAATGCCCTCCTGATTTGGTATTGCTCTGAAGCCTGGTAGTATAGTATGAAAGGCGCTTTCTGGCCCCAATATTTTGAGTGCCTCACTTCAGATATGATACATATTCATTATTTTTAAGAAACGCCAAGCATTCACTGTTCCTAGTTTCTAATTTGCAGTTCAGACCCAACGTCTCTGAAGGGGGACACCCGAGAATACCACCTTTTGCAAAGCCTTTCCTGGCAGTTCCCCCCAGTTCTTTTTTTATTATTTTTATTTTTTTTTGGTTCAGAAATGTGTCCATTGCTAATTCCCCCTGCCTTCACGCTCTCACAGCTGGTTACGCAGCCTGACTCGCTATCCATGGCGGCATTTAGCCCCACAATTTGCTCCTACGCAAAACTGAGCAGCGCACATTCCTCTTCCCAATGCACGTGTCTATTCTCGTTAGCCTTGCAATTTGCAGAGGCAAAGCCGAAAGCCCCAGACAGATTTTTTTCGAAGAGCTCATCACCCATCAGTTCCCATTATTCTCAAGGCTGGAGTTCTTTTGAAAACCTAGCACATATTTGGCTGCCTCAATGGGCCTTTGTGAAAACCTGTCCTAGACCTCTGCTGTCGCAGGCTGTGGTTGCACGCCCGTTTTCTTTGGGAGGGAAGTTGGCGTCCGCCCTTCTCTCCATCTGCTGAGCCGATCCAGTTGGCGAGCTGAAAGCTAGGTGCCCTGCCGAAGCCCAGCACCTTGCAAATGTTGCCAGCTCATGCTCTGCTTAGGAAAAAGCAAAATGAGATGAACTGTGGGTGGACAGAGGGTTTATGTGGCATTCCCAGGGAAGTGTGGATTCAGTAGGCAACTATGTCAGGCTGAACGGATCATACGGGAACTGGGGACTGGAAGCTGAAGGTTGCATTTCATGAAAGCAAAAAGGCCTGTGCAAATTTGGAGCTGCCTCCACCAAGGCATAGCGTTACAGGGCTGGGAGACATGTCACCTTCGCTCCAGCTCTCGTAACGTTACTCCGGGGATTCGATCGGTTCTCGAGCTCTGCAGGGCGTTAGGAATTCAAAGGAGGAGCTGGGCGGCAGGGAACACTTATTAAATAGACTGGATGGGGCAACTGGTGCATCTCGGACTCGGTACCTTGTCTTTTTGTTTCCGCTTCCTTGTCAGGCCCCAAGTCTAGATAGCAGGATTTCACACCGAAACCACTCTCCCGTTTGCATTTGTAAATACTCCTGTTGGGTTGTTGAAGGTCTGGGAGCTGGGTGTGAGCACTCGGAAATGCGAAGACTGTGCGTCCCCTAACCCTTGCAGGAATTCCTTCCAGGCGCTGCTTCTGCCTGAAGCCTGAATGTACAAAATTGCCCTAACCGTGTGGTTTGTTTTTTTTTTTGCCAGCGTGCGCTTTCCCAATAACTAGTGTTCCACCTAAAACAAGGGGGAACTTAGTGCTCCTTGAACTAGGCGTCAGCCGTTGCCATGGATAAGGTGGGCTTTGCAAAGCCTCTACTGAGATGGGAAGTCGCTTAACTGTTTCCCGCACTCGCTGTGATGGGTTTCACATCTACCTGGGCGCGCGCAGGGCTCAAGGCTGTGCCTGATGGGGAGCTGGCTAAGCAGCTGCGGATTTTTCTTAATCTGTGGTGTGCGTTGTCCGGGAAGGCTGACTAAGGAAAGTGAGTGTTGTAGGAAGCACGGTCATGTACTTGTTTGATGGAGTCCCCACAAACCCCAGGGTGAAAATCCCTGCCTGGGAGTGTGAGTTCTGGGAACGCGCTGTTTCCTTTTGCCCTGCAGCGGGACAGGGGAACGAGGATCTGGGGGATTTCTTGGGTTTTGGCAACGTTTTGCCCTAAATTGAAGCAGATTCGTGGATCTGGAACCAAATGCAGGCTCCTGTAATTAAGAAAGAGAAACTTTTCTCCCTCTAAAGAAATCCCTCCCGACCTGTTGCTGCTCCGGTTGTCTCCGCAGTTGCCTGCGAGCAGCCTTTGCACGCGTCAGTGCCGAACCCGGAGTCACCGCGTGTTTATGCAGCTGAGTTTGGGTGAAGCACGGCAAGGGGGTGTGGACACGCTGATGGCATTGCTGTCTGTTCTGGGAGCAGATTTTGTTGTTGTTGTTTCTCCTGTAGGATAAATAGCTGACAAACCGATCGTTTCCGTGCTGATGTGGTCACGAGGACAGTTGCTGCCGATGGGACCGGGGTGACGGGTTTTCTGGAGCTCTCCCCTTTCGCTGCCAGGGCAAGCAGAGCCTGGCTGGTAATCCCCGTGGCAGAGCCCGCAGCTAGTTACAGGGAAGATGGGAGGAAGCCTGCTTACGCTCGTCACAACGGAGATGCTGAGCATATGCTGCTGCCTCAACAGGCTGTGACAGCACGTAGCTAAAGGCCAGCAGAACACGAGCGCAAATACAGAGCTGCGCAGAAGGGGGACCTTGTTCCCCGCCTCCGCCGAGCCCTGGGGGAAAAGCTGAGGCCCTTGGGGTAGGGATTTTTCAGCAGGGCTGGAGTTGGGGAGGTTGGAGAGTGACTTCTCCTGGCTCCTTACGTGGATCTTGCCCTTCCGTGGCACCACGTTAATGCGGGCTGAGGAGTTCAGAGAAGCAGCAGGAGATATTCTCCCCACCGTACGGATAGGGAGGGGTGCAGGATGCCTGTAGGCTCTTGAGTCCAGGGCAAGCTGCAGGGTGGACCCAGGCATGCCTCTTCCGCCTGCTCTCATCATGCAAGCAACGTGCCCTTTGCTCTGGCTCAAATGCCAGTTGTTAGAAGCCGAATGCACGTCTGTTTGCCCGGCTGTCCAGCCTGGCTCCTTGTTGTCTTTCCCCTGCAGCAGGTCTTGCGTTGACGGCCTTAGCAGCATGCTCGCTTGCGTTCCTCGGAGCAGGGAAGCCTCTGGATTACCCAGCTCCCGCTCTACCATTTTTAAAGTTCTGCAGCTGCAGAGCAAGCTGCAAAAAACCCTCCTGCTTTCCCAGCGCTGTCCCACTTGGTAAAGGGACAACACGGTCAGTGGCAGGACAGGACAGCAGGCAGAGCCGGTATCGGCGCTCGTGAGCCATCAAGCCAGGCTTATTTATGATATTCCCATTTATGAAAATGGCTTGGGGCGGGCAGGGAAAGACGTATCAGAGAGATTTCTGCTCTCTAATAATTGCAGTGTCTCTCTGTAAATTCCCTGGGAGAGCTGTCTTCCCTGCTGTGCGAACGGCAGGAAACGTAGCTCCGTGTCAGAGCCGTGTTAGAAACAGTTTGTCGGCTTTCTGACACCTGTTTAACTGAAGCGACTTGCGCTCTGTCACCAGAGCTGCAAACGGGCCTTGTCTAAGGCCTATTAGCAAAGTTTGTAGCGCTTTGCAGCAAGCCTGTAAATGGCCCTTTCCTTGAATGGAGTTGTCTGGACAGGTCGGAGGCTGTAGATAAAGGCTGTTCAGACAGGCCGTGGCAGCACGTCCAGATGTACCGCTGAGGTCTCGGTGCAGAGCTGGGCAATCGCTTTGCAAGGAGCAGAACGAAAAACCTGCCCTCTGCGTCGTTGGACACTCACTGCGTCTCACGGCTGGGGCTGGCGGTTTGTCTGCACTGCCGCTCCTGCAGGTCATGCACCTGAGGACTACCAAGTGTTTTTATAAACTACCATGTTCCCCTTTACTGCTTTATGTGTTTCTTTCCTTCTGTAGGAGAATAAAATGAAATGCAGGTGGGTGACATCATGCAGGATCTTAAACGTATAGCCTTGAGCAGGTGGGGGCTACCTCTAACTGTGTAGTGGATGGTGGGGCTTTTGCCCTGACACTGATTCCTATTAGTCTATGATCTGTGAAGGATAGAAGTCCCCTAAGTTATTGAGCCTATGTTGAAAGAAAAACCTTGGTTTACTAGTCCAAGCTAGCAGGCTTGGGGGTCAGGAAGTGATTTTTTTTTTCTTCAGTCCGCCACGAACTGTGCGTGACCTTGGTAAAGGCATTTTTCTGTTCCACAATTATCAATTGTGGCTAAGAGCATCTACTGTAACCAGAAGGCTTTGAGATCCCCTAGTAAAACAAACCCAGGATGCCTTTACAAGGTGGTGAAGATCAGGAATCTGTGTTAGACTCTCATGCTGACTGTTTATGTGTCACCTTTAGAGCTCTGCCTTTTTCCTAAAATTGCAAGCTAAGTGCTTCATGGCTAAAACCAGCTTCCTCTTTCTTTACAGGAATACACTTGCCCAAGATGCGAATCTGGCTTTATTGAAGAAGTCACAGATGATTCCAGGTAACGTATGTGCCAATGCATCACTTGTTTTAGCATGTGTTGAGATGCCTGGCGTAATGTACCTGAAAACTGCAGACAGTAAGGATAAAATAAGGAGTAAAGATGCAAAAGAAAAGCTCATATGTTAGTGTGAGCTTAGACTCATTCCAGATAAGACTGAAAATACGAATGGCTATCAGTGTCTTGTTAGAGTCACCTGGAGGGTTTGGGGGAAGATTTTTAACAAGGTGGGAGTTATGAAATAAGGCTGTACAGGGTCCTGTGAACAAAACCTCTTACAGGTTCTTGAGGTCTGCTTGTTTGGGCTATTAGAGTGAAAAAACTATTTTTTTTTTTTTTGGTTAGGAAACAAGCTTAAATTTCAGTGAATCAAAGTACCTTTGTTTTTACCTCTGTTGTCCCCAGGGCTGTCTCCTGACCACCTCTCAAATCTCACAGCTGAGGCCAAAGAGAGGAAATATCTTTTCTGAGGCTGCTGAGCTCAATCTCTAGGAGCACTAAATTGGGCATTGTGGGAGGTGACCCAGCTGAACATGCTGCCTGCAAATCAGCCGTTCAAAACGCTGCCTGTTCAACGCTTAATATATTCACGCTTAATATATTCAACGCTTTATTTGGGTTGGGGGTAGGCGAGACAAAACAGCGCCAACGATTACGTGAACCTTTGC